GGAGCAAACATAAGCCCCGGGGGGGGGGGGGGGGGGAAGATTAGTTTAGCCATATCTTGGAAATGAACTGTCCATTGTCACGGTTGGTCTCTGAATAGCTAGAGCTTCTCGAATTCGTCATTGTTGCTTGTTAGAGAGGTTGGAGGCTATGATAGATTGGTCTTGAATTTTGTGGTTAGGAAACTTTATGAGGTGTTCAGATAAGGCCGATTTTCCATCTTCGTTTTTGGTGGAGGTTCTTTCATTCTAGTCTGCATGTTTCACCATTTACATAGGTGATAATGATTGTAGTGCTACAGTGCTTATTTGTTTAACCTAATTACCATAATGGTGCACACGGCGACTGTCGACAAACTAAGATCATTGTGACACGATTATCCAGATCGAGTAATTAGTTGAACTTATATCAAAAGAGAGGCTTGATAATCTTGACCACAATTCTTGCAACTCGGTAGTGTTTTGATACTTGATACCCCATCTTGATTTATTTATCTTAATTATTCAATCAATAAAAAGATGTTTATTTACTAACCAAAACAGCTTAAAGACTCATACAGTGACAAATTTTCTTTAAAAATTGCTCTCTTTTTACTTTTTATAAAATTGACGGTTAGAGTATCTCTTATAAAACCTTATTGTTTGTTACAGCCATAATACCATGGCAATGCAAAAATTCCTGTGTTGACTGTGATAACGAATAATAATAATGCTTTCCAACTCCTCAAATGTGTGTAATAGAGCATTTATGACCTTCAATGCAATTGGTTGAAAAAGGACCAACTAGAATCTAACTTACCTAAATTGGACATCCCAGACAGAATAATTGTGTCCTTTAAAGCACACAAGATTACTCCATGTCTGTAGGCTCCATAATCTAACTGAACATAAAAAAAACCTGGTAATTTTTTAACTAAGACAAGGGTTAAGCTCAATGTCATGTGTTCATTTTTATTATACGGTCACAGTAGTAGGTGATTATAGCAAAGCAGGACATTCTGGAAATTTGCTAAGCATGCTTGCACATTCAGATGTAAAACCTAAAATAATCGTTTCAATAAAGAGTAACATTAAAGGATATTTCTAATTGAAATTGATGAAGGGCAATTTTTGAGACCTACTTGTGCCGTCTTCTGAACAAGATACCATTGAGGATCTATCTGGACTGAAACTTGTAGAATAAACAGGTCCACTATGTCCATTTAATTTCTTCATATCTCTACTAGTCTTATCATCCATCATTCTCTCAAATACATCATCTAGAATAAATTAAATAAAATACAACATCTAGATTATATTAATCAAATACATCATCTAGATTAAATTAATTAAAATACATCATCTAGAATAGATTAAATAAAATACACCATCTAGATTATATTATTCAAATATATCATCTAGATAATATTAAATGAAATACATCATCTAGAATAGATTAAATAAAATACAACATCTAGATTATATTAATTAAATACATCATCTAGATTAAATTGATTAACATACATCATCTAGAATAAATAAAATAAAATACACCATCTAGATTATATTATTCAAATATATCATCTAGATAATATTAAATAAAATACATCATCTAAACAAAATACATCATCTAGATTATATCAAAAGTACATCATCTAGATTACAAAAAATAAAATACACCATCCAGATAACATAAAATAAAATACGCCATCTAGATTATAATAAACAAAATACATCATCTAGATTATATTTAATTATAAAAAATAAAATACATCATCTAGATTATATTAAATAAGATACATTATCTAGATTATAATAAATTATATTAAATAAAATACATCATGTAGATTATATAAAATAAAAAAAAATCATCTAGATTATATTAATATCTAGATTATATGAAATGAAATACATCATCTAAATTATATTAAAAGATAGCTTGCCAGACAAGGTAATATACGCCCACTGGGTGATAATAAGCAATTTCACCAAGTTTTGTCAAAATCTGTCATGAAATGAACCATCTAGAATGTTTACAATGCTAAAAATTGAACGTATTTTCAAGAACAAGGGCAATACTAAATATTTTTCGATTCTTCTGATTTTCTATAGAGTTCATCCTTGGGTGATTACGAACACTCATACCAAGTTTTGTCAAAATCCGTCAAGAATTGTGTCTTGTAGAGTGTTTACGAGCAATTGTGGATGGACCGATTGACGAACCGACGGACGGACATAGGTGACGGCAATATACGCCCCTCCTTTCATGTGGGCGTATAATAAAATACTGATATATATATGTCATCTAGATTATATTCCAACTTTCCAACTGACAGAACTGAATTTGAATCTTTGACAAAAAAAAAGCAGAAAAGTTATTAGAATTCCTCTAATGGAATAAAAGAAAGAACCCTACCAGCATCTTTATCAATAAGTTCTAACTCTAATCCAGATTTAACAGAACGTAATTTGTTAGGTGAAGTAGTATAAACTCGAATAACACTATCAGCAAATCCAGCACTGACTAGACTAGTATCTTCAGAAAAATTGATAGAAGTTACTCTGAAACAGAAAAAAATAGTTTAAAATAAGATCCTTTGTTAAACTGGAAAGTCAGGTAACTAAAGTGAAAATAATACATCTATCAAATCTATAAATATTGAATTGAGTACCAGTATTTACATCTGAATCATGAAGCGTTAACATTATGTTTTTAATTCTGTATTGAGGAAAGCTGTAGCATTTTTGTGGAAGACCAGTCTGATTTGCATTTAAAATGATCTTACCCATGTGTTGAATTCAGGAAGGTATAAAAACAAATAGAAGGTGGATGATTTTTATCAACTTTTACTCTCTTTGAGCTTTCACGTAACATAGTAATTTTTTCTATTTTATCTTGATCTTTACTGAAAATAAAACAAATTAATCTAGTTGTACATTAATTGCACTGTAAAGAACATGAATTAAGGCATACCACTATACCATATTATCTAATGAAGCAAGGGAAATTTAGCCAGAACAGTGGCCCAAAAAAAATGGGCAATCTTCTGTATTTCTAGTATGTCATCAATAAGCTTTGGTACCACATTGTCTGTTTTCCTCTGTTTCACTAACCGTTCAACGTCACCACCGTGAAACCCTTGTCCAGACTGCCCGGTAGTATTATCTTTTGTTTTGGCCTACAACTTCAACTTTCCTGTATTCTATTGTAACCTGTTTTGGTCTTCATTTTGGCAGTTTTTAAGGAAGCTTCAAATATTGGGCTTCAGTTGGTCCAAATGCATCATAATCATTTTCAGGAAAAATGTCACTCATTCTCTGTCGGAGGCATTCGTATTGCAATGGCCTATCGGCATTGAAATCCTTGCCTTGACACTCCATGTTGGTTTTGTAGGTAACTAGACACTCGATTAACCCTTTTATCATTGTTGGAGGAAAATCGCTGGCCCATTACATTTAACAAGGCCCTTAGTGTTCTTGATGATAAAAGAGTAAAAGATAAAACATCTCAAGACTATAAACTGAAGACTTACAGTTCGGGTAATGGTATCCTTGATATCAATGGTGCATTGGGGTCATTTTTAGATTTCTTCATTAACAGTGGATCTTTTTTAGATTTCTTTTTCTAGAAAAAATACAACAAATTATGACGACTTCTGAAAAGAAAATTACAGAGCAATAACCAAAAACACTAACTTATAACCTTACAATCCATCTATTTCAATGACTAGTTATACTTTTAGAATAATCCTATTAAACCTAAGGCCATACTAAATAAATAGTCCGCTTTACAGGCCTTTTTTTTCAAAATCGTGGTGAGAGGACGAATTTATTATTAATCATTTATAAGCGCTTTTTAAAATTTTTAACTGGGATAAATCGGAACGAGGGAAAGTATCTATTATTTATTTCCACAAATTTAATGTACATTTAATGTAAAGTACTAGAACTATATATATACTTTGAATCTGTATTTATTTTATCAAATCCATTTATTAACTAACTTATGCCAAGGTGAAGTTTGTAAAAAATGTCAATATAACTTTAAAAATGTAAATAATATATATGGATAATAGTGCTCAAAGATTGACAGTAAGTTGTAAACTACTAGTACTGATTAGCTTAAAAGCTAAACAATTCCAGTTTCTGAAAAGTGTGATAAAATGAATTGTGAAAGTGCCTCTTTAAAGTTGGATTTTCTTATTGTTCTTGGACAAATAATGCTTAATGTTTGATTAATTGATGTTTGTAATGAAATATCCAAAGATATCTACCACTTCTGACAACGATGCACTTAGGGTGCATTCTTGTAGACTGTCTTGTTTTGGTCCCACGTATGCAGAATCGGAATCAAGATTAATGTCTTGATTGTCAACATAAAATGTGTCAACAATTTGTTTAATTGTGCTTCCTTCAGCAAACTAATGTAACTTCACTGGTTAATCATTATAATCAACATCACTTTTAAGTGATATAAAAAGAACAATGGCTTTTAGCAGTGAATTTTAAATTTGATGAGAATAACGTGTTCTAAACCACTTCTGGTTTTACGAAAATAACTTAAGGGAAATAACACTATTAAAATATTCAAATGGGCATATCACGGATTGCCGCGATCTCATAGACTTTAACGCAACATAAGGTTACGTCGTAATGTAACTAAAGGAACGTAATTGCAAGTGACATCAGATATTACGTTATGTTGATTTGTACTTAATGTCTTCTAGTCAAAGTAAAGATAGTTCTTTGAATCAACGTCTTATCATTTACACAACAACGAAGTCCTAACCTACTAAACCCAAACATTGGTGCCGTGACCAGGATACCAAATGAAGATAACTGGCCAAACTGGAATGGTAACACGTTTACTCTAAAACCAAAGTTTACATCTGTTTATTTACCTGTGCCACAACAAGAGCCATTCACCTTGAGATCGTTCTGAATTTAAGCGAATCGTCGTTTATTTTAGCATTTAGAAGATTTTCCAGTCGAAAATCGCTTCCAAGAACCCTCATACCTGATAATGCGTTTACTTTTATTTCTGCCAGTAAGGAAATCAAAAATTTGACAAATTCACCATCATTACACGAAAATCTTAACACTTATGGAACTAAATGGAAATTCATTCCGAAAAGAGCCCCCTGGTTCGGTGGATTTTGGGAACGCATGATAGGTCTCACAGACGTTAGTCTAAACAAAATGCTGGGGAGATCTTACATAGATTTAGAAACTTTACAAACAGTAATTTTTGAAATCGAAGCTACGTTGAATGATAGGCCTTTAACTTATGTTTCGCCTGATTCTACAGACCCAGAACCGTTTTTTTCAGAGCCGTTAATTTAAGAACAAAAAATGGTATTACAAATCGTCCGATCGCCAAACTTTACCCAATAGAAGTCTCTGATGATTATTTACCCTATGAGGAACCTACCAAATTTCGTCAGGCTAAGGAAGATGCCAAAATAAAGATTCGACAACGGACATTGTAATATATCTATAAACAAGAGACTGTTCAGTGAATCTATTTCTTCATATATAGACTTTTAAGGGAGAATTCATATATATACATGGACTTTAAATGGATAATGATTCATTGTGTTTTTTTGACATTTTTCTTGTATTCAAGTTTTACTTTTCATTTTCTGTGGCCGGAGTATCACGGATTGCGGCGATCTCATAGACTTTAATGCAACATAAGGTTACGTCGTAATGTAACTAAAGGAACGTAATTGCAAGCGACATCAGTTATTACGTTATGTTGATTTGTACTTAACGTCTTCTAGTCAAAGTAAAGATAGTTCTTTGAATCAACGTCTTATCATTTACACAACAACGAAGTCCTAACCTACTAAACCCAAACAGGGCAAGGGGAAATATCTCTATTTTACACATTATTTAGGGGGCTTGTGCCCATTATTTATTAATTACTTCAAAATGTCAATAAATAAATTTGGAGCCTGGGGTATATTTTACTGGAGCACACAGGGCCTGTAAAACAGACTATTTTGTATGGCCTTTAACATTGCATTTGCATTTTATTCAGATTTCTTTTACTTCATAAAATAAAGAATTAATGATTTGACCAGTCATGTCTAAAATTTCAAAATGTATAAAGGGCACTTTGGTATTGGGACAATGTATCATTCAAATGGATTACTCTAAAATGATTATTTCAATTGATAGAAAGTGCATGACACATCCGAACCTCCAAACTTTGGCCATGATCAATTGAACGCCTGATTTGTACCTTGGGTTTATCTGTTTGTTCTCCTTCTGTCTGTTCATCATCTTCTTCCAGTGGAACATTTATATCTGGTTCTTTTAATAACCCATAGAATACCTTAGTTTTATTGGCTGAAATATATTAATGGTATTATGTACCAATACTAAAATAACAAAGGCCATTCGATAGGGGTATGAAAGGTTTTTCTATGACTTAAAGTAAGAAAAGCACAGTTGTCACATGAACCAAAAGTACTTACATTCTCTCTGGGCTTCTCCTAATATTCCACCACATGTTAGATTTATTTGCTGCTTATTTCTTGGCACACCATCAAACACTTGAAAATAGATACATAGGAATAAAAAGACAAGAACTAAAAAGTTTGGAAATCTAATACACAAAAAATTACTGAGAATCAAACAGAAGAAAAACATTGAAAAAATTTATTGTCCCATCAGAACAACAAAACTCTTTCTTTTATTACTACCACCATAAATACATACCATGTAAGGAAAGACTAGAAAAAGTACCCACCATCAATAAATAGATGTTCTTGTATAATATTCAATAATAGATTCAGTTGTTTTTCTTGTAAATGTCGTTTAAGATGAGTGTAAGAATCACGAGACATTCTGATGACAAATTTACTGGCTCTGAAATATATTACAGATTTCTATAAGACTGAGTTGCTTGTTCAGAAACAAACACTGTATATTTTAATGTATTTGTCAGTTCCTTATTATCAACACTTCAGGATTCTTAGGACATTTTAAAACATATTTGTCATATTTGAAAACTATCGGTGAATCGATGTACCATGATATGACATGCCACAATATAAAACAAATACAATTCCTGGTAGTCTTTCTTTTTAGATTTCCTTTCATTTCATATGTAGGTGCATACCAACATACTTGAAATTTTCCATAAGTTGATTGCCTTTCATATGTTCTGGTTTTGTGACAGTTGCTAATTTACTGATATCATTCTGATAATATTCTTCTTGATCTTTAGAAAATTTCTCCATAAATGATTTGGCTGAAAATAATGATAGAAATAAAGGTAGAAGAGTGTTTCTTAATTGCACAAGGATGTAAGAAAAATGGTATTGCTTATCAAAAGATAATTTGTGTAGGTAAAATTAACATATTTCCATATAAAGTCCATGTGATTCACTGGAAATCAAAATATTGTCATGTGTAGCTACAAATTTAACTAAAAATGGGTTCCCTTATTTTCATTTATGAAAATGAAAATGCTAATACTTATATGAAGAGAACATAGAGGTGTAATAATGACTCGGAAAAATACCAGTTGGTCTCACATGTCCATAAGCAATTCATAATTAGCTAAATTAGAAGAGAATTACCAGCAGAATTTCAATGAGTAACCGATCAAGAAAGGTCAAAAGGTCTTTTTTTATCCAGACTGTAGGTACATGAACACTTATGACCAGTTAAAACTCTTAATTATATGCAATAAATTATAAGGATATGATAAAGAATACATGAAAATTCATTCAAAATACCAAATAATCAAATAGTTTGCTTAATTTAAAACTATTTTGCACATACAGAGAAAAACATCCATGATTTCCCAAACTAGGGTGGATATTTGAATTCTGTTTATTTTTTTTAAAATATTAAATGTTGTTGAGAGAGTCAAACTGGATAATGTGGAGCGTATTGACTCTAAAAAATAAGGAAACCCACCTTTAAATACTGAAATCTATTTTATTCCGATTAATTTGAGGACATACCTGTTGATTCATGTTCATTATAAACCAATTCAAAATACATGTGAACGAATACAGGATACAAAACCATAGCTAATTCAACCTACAAATACATAAACATTACATGTCTCCCCTTACATGATGGCTGCATTTCTTACTACAATTTCTGGAATTGCAGGAACTACAGACATTGGACAAAGAATTGGAACATGAAAAAAAGCTAAAAAACCTCTTTACAATCCCTTTAAGTTAAGCCTAATTGTAAAACTTAACTGTCTAAATCTTTATGCCAAACCAATGTTGCACTTACGTAATTTTGAAAATTGCCTGGACTGCAATATCAATCTTCAACAAGCATCATTCACAAGATAATCAGTAACATGAAAATTATTACCCTATGAACATCCAAACTAGAATCTACAAATGCCTTTAAATCTTCATAAATATCACCATATAAGGTTGGGTCATCATCACTGAAATAAGAAATTTGATAAGACTTTCCACTAACTCAGTTAGGTTGAACAGAAGCAGGCACAATGTTTAGTTGTAAATTGAGGAGGTTTGATTAGGATATTTGTGGAACCATTGTGGTGAATAATAGTAAATATGGCAGATCCATGGGTGACTAGGGCCAAGCTATAAAACCGGAAATACATGTCAGAGGTCAAATGTCAAAGCATCAACTGATAGCCAAGGTCAATTTATTAAAGATTTTGGGGCAGGGGCAATAACTCTGCTTTTTACTTTCGAAAATAGCTCAAATTCAAACTTGATCTTCATTTTATAAATATATATGTCTACACATACCTAATTTCATTTGATTCCATCAAAAAATCTAGTTTTTAGAGCGTTTACAAGAAAATGATGTTGATAGAAGCACTTACTGTATAGAGGCTAAAGGGCGATAACTCTTCAAAACTGACGTAAGAGGCCTTAATCTTGAAAAAGCCTTAAATTTAATCAGAGGTAAACTAAACTTTCTTAATCCTTTTCATTTAGCTCCAATAACATCCATTTCAAGTTTCATCAAAATCTAAGAAAGTAATAGCATATTCAAGATTTTGGGGCAAGGGCAATGACTCTGCTTCTAACAATCGAAAATAGCTCAAATTCGAACTTGATCTTCGTTTTATGAATATGTATACACATATCGAATTTCATTTGATTCCATCAAAAACTTTTTTCAAAAGAGAGATAGAGAGATGTGAGCGTATAAAAATTATTTAGTGGCTTAATAATGAATTTTCAAATTAATCTTAAAATTATCTATAAGTCAGGGCAAAAACCTGAAACAGTTCATCAAATTCAAACATGAACAATGTCTCATCACTGTACACACAAGAGCAATAACAGTTCATCCAATTATTAACAATTTCTAACTTGACCAAGATCTCATTAAATATACATCCATCTACTTTCATCAAGATTGGATAAAAACTATAGTTTCTATCGTGCCTGCAGGCCGAATTTGACAAGTTTTTACTAAGTCAAGGGGAAGAACTCCAAAACCCTTCATCCAATTGTTACTCGTCTGAGATCTCATCAACATATACACACATACCTAGTTTCATCTAGATTGGATAAAAACTGTAGTCTCTATCGGGCCTACAATCAAAATTTGATGAGTTTTTACTTAGTCAACGGCAATAACTCTGAAACCATTCATCCGATTATTACCAATTTCAAACTTGACTTGACTGAGATCTCATGCATACCAAGTTTCATCAAGATCAGACAAAAACTGTAGTCTCTATTGAAATTTGCATGGATGGACTGATGGACAGCGGCAATGGCAATATATGTCCACATTTACATGTGGGCGTAAAATAAAGGAATTGACATTTCAAAGACCCACAATAATAAAAGTTATATACCTTTTATAAGCAGCCAAGGCATGTGATACTTCTGACTCTGAAGGTGCTGAGTTTTCTGTTGCAACATCATCCTCGGTTAAGTTAGCTTCAAACTTTAATTTATTTTCTGTTTCCTGTAAACAGAATTAGAAGTTGACAAAAGTTGTTAACATAACCACTTCATATGATTAAAATCTTCAAAGATAGCTTGCCAGGCAAAGTATCATCCGCCCACTATCAGCTGTCAGAAATGATAAGTCTGTAGTGGTTTAATAAGTGAAACTAATCATCCTATTTTTACTAATTTCAATCTTTACCAAGGTCTCATACCAAATTTCATCAAGATCGGTTAAAAAAAAATGTAGTCTCTATCACGCCTACAAGCCAAATTAGACGCAATGAATTAATTGATGGGCAATAACTCAAATAACCATTCATCCAATTATTACCATTTTTGAATAATTTATACATGCATACCAAGTTTCATCAAGATCAGATAAAAAACTGCACCCAGTATCATGACTACAAGCCAAATTTGAAGCGTTTTTACTAAGTCAAAGGGCAATAACTCCAAAACCACTCATCCAATTATAACCAAGTTCAAACTTGGCTGGGATCTCATCAATATATACCTGCATACCAAGTTTCATCAAGATCGGATAAAAACTGTAGCCTTTAGCGCGCCTACAAGCCAAATTGGACATGTTTTAAATAAATCAAGGACAATAACTCTGAAATCATTAATCCAATTATTACCAATTTCGAACTTGATCGAAATCTCATCAATGTATACATGCATGCCAAGTTTCATCAAGATCAAATAAAACTTGTAACGCTTTTTACTAAGTAAAGGGCAATAACTCTGAAACCGTTCATCCGATTTTTACCAATTTCAAACTTGACTGAGATTGCATCAATATATATAGATGCATACCGGTACTAAGTTCTAGGTGGGATAAATAATGTAGCCTTTATGGTGCATAAAAACTAAATTTAACACGTCTTTACTATGTCAAGGGCAATAACTCTGAAACCCTTCATCCGCTTATTACCGATTTCGAACTTGACCGAGATATCATCAATATATATACATACCAAGTGTCACAAGATCAGATAAAAGCTGTAGCCACTATCGTGCATACGAGAAATGTTGACGGACGGACAGGGGTGATGGCAATATGTGTCCACATTTCCATATGGGCACCGGTAACAATTATCACTTCAATGTGAATTGTTCAATAGTTTGAATTTAACAGATTAAGATTATATACACACGGCTTAGGCTACCAAGTAAATAATTAGCATTCTATACTATATTTTACAGAGTAGATAGAGGGACAGAAAATCTGAAATGAAGCTATTGAAAGCGGGGGATTTGAATATTGTGCTCCAATTTACAAAGTTTCGTAATAATTTCCTCTGTATATTAGCATCAGCAGATTTGCAAACAACAAACTTGAATAGATTATACACCTACGGTTAAATTATGTTTCTTGAGAAACTGTAGTACAGCTAAAAGAGTTTGTTTCTCTGATATATCTGGTTTTACAGGTTCTTTGCCTGTTTCAATTCCTTCCATGACCTCCATCTTGAATACTCTCAAACCTTATTATCGAAGTGTTTTAAAGACAAATTTTTCATTTTACTACTAGACCTATATTGCCATTCTATGAATGAATTTATTTTATATTTCAAACACATTTGGACGGCCAAAAGTTATTGTCAATGTCTTTTATAGTAATCAATGCATTAGACAAATTCACAGAGGCTATATTTTTATGTATATCACGTGACAGCTCCATCTTCCGTCCTCTTGTAACTTGTCTTTGCTCCGGTAAGCATGTGTGAAAATTTATCCATCCCAATCACGAACGCTGTAAGCTTTTCTATGCATGAAAATTATATAATTACATTCCTACTTATCTATTCTTTTGTTTTGCAGCAATAAGAAATCGAGATGAGGGCAAAGGTGAGAATAATTTACGTGTTAACTTTATCTTTACATGTGATATTGTTTTTTTCTGTAAAGTTCTCTTGAGATTTTTTTTTGTTAAGTCGCATAATTTGGGCCTTTAGGCAGAGACATTTTTCTTTTATCGAGTCCACGACATACGGAGCCCCTAAGGCGCAATTGTAAACATATTTATTACTTCGTTTAAACGAAATAATTATTTCGTTTTGACGAAATAATTAATTCGTGTAAACGAAATAATTATTTTGTTTTAACGAAATACCCTATGTTTATTCCGTTTAAACGAAATAATTAATTCGTGTTAGCGAAATAATTAATTCATTTAAAAGGAAATAATATTTCGTTAAAACGAAATGTGATATTATTCGTTTAAACGAAATTTGTGATATTATTTCGTTTAAACGAAATAATAATAAAAGTGTTAAATTGCACTGAAGGGGCTCCGTCGAACAGTGCATTGTTTGATATCTTGTGTTACATGTTATTCTTCATGTCTGATAGTTTAATATGATTGACCCTTATTTTATTTGATATTGATGTCTATGTAGAGCCTTGGCTTTTATTTGTAGTGGAAGAAAAAACGTATGAGGAGATTGAAGCGTAAAAGGCGAAGGATGAGGGCTAGGTTAGCAATTTTCATATTCTGTACGGGTAGATTTAGATAAAATTTATGGTCTATGAAAAATCCTCAACGCCAGACAGCCGCTTTGATTTTGGATGGTGGGATGCTCGGACATGATACCATTTGTGGGTTATGTTGGTCACTTTAATTTTGTTAAAATTGGCACAAGTCTTGCTTGTCTTCTTGAAGCTTAACTACTGCTGTCTATTGTAATAGACCTGCTCCATATTACCAAAGACTTGGTAAAGATTATTTTAATTTCCTACACATTCCCTTTTGTTTCAGATCCAAGTAAAACCCTTCCCTATTCTGATGCAGCCTGTTAAATATTCTAATTAGATAAAGAAGATTGGTGTTCCACTTAGTCTGTGAAAAGGTTGTTCGCCTTTAACTTGACCACATTTCTTAAAAATCGGTTTTGCTTGAAATCAACTTACTGCGTTGAACACTATCAGTTATTCTGGTTTCAGTTTGCTCATAAGTACCATGATGAAGATGTGTTGATTGATGATGATGAAAGTGAAATTGTGTGGATAATACCCTCCAGACATTTCATTACAAACTTTTCTTGTGACATTAGAAATTGTGGACTTGTTTAATTTCATTTATTTAAAAGGCTGTATTTAGTACATGTTTTAATAAAATGTGTAGTGTCATTTTTTTTTTTGTACCGTATTTACTCTCTTGCATAATATGTCTAAGAATGTCTGAAGATCAATGGAAATTCGTCTCTTCAAAAAAGATCATTGGTAGCAATTTGCATTAACCAAAAGTCAAGGCCGTTTTTATTCGCCCGCACATTAATGTGGGCGTGATATAGCCGTCACCCCTGTCTGTCCACAGTGTCCACAAACGATAGAGAGCTGTTTTCTTGATGGATTTTACGTTACTTGGTGAGTGTTTGTAATCGCCCTAGTATCAACCATATTGAAAATCAGACGAATCGAAAAATATTTACTATGAAATATTGCCGTTTTTTTTTTTTGCCCCAAAATCTGGAATATGCTATTACTCTTAGTTTTCAACTGATTTTGATG